ACGAATTACTTTCAAATCGGTCATTAAAGTCGCCCAGTGGCGCAGTTACCAGATTGTTGGAGCCATGGATCAAGTTAAACAAATCGACACTCACCTCATTGACTCTTTCGGTTCGTGCCAGTTGCGTTTGGGGAAGGGACAGATTAGTTGACTTTGAACCCATTATTCTCACAGAGTGTTGACGGCTTGACGAGCACTACTTGTCAACAAATATTCGCCCATGTTCCTTTATTGACCGATTTGAAAGTAATTCGTTGCCCTGGAGTCGGGCACTGGTCCCTCCTCACCACACTCGAAATGCTTCCCAGATTACGGAGTCTCAGCTTCGATATTTTGGTATGTGATTTTAAATACCATTGATTATCGCTCACGTACGAACATGATAATTTAGGCTTTTAGCAGGCCACCTGTCGATGCTTGCTATCATTGTATGCCTCTGGAACACGCCTCCATCACTATACAGAACACTCCAGATTTCTCTCTTACATCGAATAATCTCCGGGAGACAGTCCTTGGTATGTTCATACTCTTCCCGTTGATTATAGACTGAGCACCTATAGGTGTGTGTCAATTCTTCTCAACCTCTACGCTCGGCTCGTTCACACTTGCACCTACTCTGGATCAAACTTCATTCCTTCTGATTCCGACACTGGTGCAGTCGCATTTGAAAGCGGTCCGGAAGCTGAATCTGGTTAGGATTGTAGTTCCTCCAGGGGATCTGAGCACTATTTGCTCGCAATGTCCTCTATTGGAGCAATTAACGATTGGGTTTTATAAGGACATGGTATATCTTTGCCGCGTTTATGTTTCATACAACTGACGTGATGCCAGAAATCCGCGCGTAGCCCCTTTATTAGCGCTCTTGCCAATTCGACAAGGTTACGGACTTTGATCGACTCTTATAGTCTTCGGCTAGACTACAGAAGTACCAGAGACAAAGCGGATCTAACTATGCAAGAAGTTGGTCGCATTTTTGTTTCGGTGCCCAATCTGGACACCTTGGTCAACGCTTACAGGTCGTGGACTGTAAGGCATGATCCCAATTTT